GATATACCATAGCCACCAAACTCCTTTCGTTGATCCCTAGGTCTCCTTTATTTTGTGAATATACATAGTTATACAACTCTTTTTTTTTTGGGCTAATTGAAATTTGCAACTTCTGATAAATTTCTACCTCACAAAACTGTCTCAAATGCATGCACTACAGCCCCATTTATTGGCTCCACTTAAGTTAACATATAAAATTATTAATTAATGTGTAAAAATAATCTATTATTTTCAATTTTAAACAAAACAAAATTTTAGTAAGGTATTCAAACTAAAATTTGAAATGAAAATAAAACTTATATGTGTTCGCCAAAAATGATTAGGAAAAAGGAAAGCAGATTAGAAACCTCCAAGAAAAGCAAAATAGGAGGGAGTTGCCTTCAGAACTCTTACTTTGTAAACTAAACACAAACACTATGAGGGAAAGAAGAAAAAGATCACGAGGATCATAGAGCAAGTGCCCAGAAAGAAAAGATGGAGTGACACCCTATAACCGAGCCAACAGGTTAAGTTCTTTGCTTATAGCCATTCTTGCTACGGCACCCATAATAGAGTTTTGTTTCTCTGTTAGTGTAGTTGAAGTGACTGATTTTAGTCTCTCAAGCCCATTAGGAATTGAAATCAAAATGTGGTTAAGCCTCGAGGACCAACGAGATGACTACTTCGGACTGCTCTCGATTATGACTACTTCCATAAAGTTGAACAAACTATGAGTTGTTATGATAAAGATTTCCTCATGATGGTTTTAGGATTGCGAGTGCTACGGTGGCATGTATATATCTTTGCTAACACCATAGTCAGCTCATTAATGGTGCGGCTGCTGAAATTTGATTAACGGGGCCATGCTAATTGCTATAGTTGTAAATCACTACAATGTTGTTCGAGGTGCTAGGGGGACACCTTTTCTTGTATTACGTTAGGCTAGGGAAGGAGGTAAGTATTAGCCATGTTTTCTGTTCTATTCATATTTTACTTTCTCTATTTTTCTGTTATTCCCTTGTCGGTGTTATAGTTTGTGCTATGTTTGCTGTCCGGACTATACTTTTTGGAATTTTGTTTTTTTTTTTCTTTTGATTGTCTTCGTTAGCTGTATTATGTTGTCAAATGATCAGCAAAACTTTTTCAAAATAGAATTACCAAGCTACCATAACGAGTACTAAGTCGCATATTTCCCCTATGGAATCTTGTTTCCAAACTAGCATGTAAGTGATTGTAAAAAGAGTTAAGCCACTACACCTTTCCCAGTCAAAACCCTTCTTTTGAGGTTGATGGCTGAAAGATAGACCCAATTGGACACAATCCTTTATTATTTTGTCTTGATACGCCACCAACCAGAAAAAAATCTTGAGAAAAATCCTTCAGAAGCAAGTCTCTCGGCCATACATCCTTCCAAAACTGTATCTTAATCTCATCACCTATAGTTAATGAGAATCTTGATAGAGGGTCAAAATCACCTCATAGGCAAGAGATATTGTCTCAACGATCTCACACCAACAGGTTGAGAAAATTCGTTACTAGGAGGACAAATGCAGAGAGGTAGTGACAAGTCTCTGGCATCACTCTCTTCTGCACTGAGCCTTCCTTTGTCATATATATCTCCAGAACCACTTGAACAAATAAGGACCTATTCATATAATGTAGATTGCCAAATCCCAACCCTTCTTCCCCCCAGCAATGCCCGTAGAAATGATAGTCCCGTTTATTAGTCGAATTTTTCTTTAGTTGGCCGAATTGCCCCAAAAAAAAAAAAAAAAATTTCTGAAGATTGCCCTCTGAGTTGTTTGTGACTCTCACTGGCATTTTCACGAGAGATATGAGAAAGGTCGGTGAAATGTAAAACACCTCTATAGTTATACCGATCGAGTATAATTTAGTAATAATTGTACAGAGTATACAAGTTATTGTAATTATCTAATTCAATTCGAATGCTAATGCAAAAGATTAAGCTGCCAACCAAAGAGTAATAGTGTGGAATTCTTTTTTTTTTTTTTTTTTTGTGGGTCATGCACAGAAATTTATAAAGGAGTCACCGAGGAAAAAAGAAGACCAGAAATTGGAATTCAAAGTTGTCTTGAGCATACTCTTTTTAGTAGCCGTTGACATTTTACTTCTCTTTTCCCTCCTTGTCTACGTTCTTCTCTTCTTTAATCTCCTTTTGGTTTAGTACCACTGAAGCCCCGGACCACCACCACACTCTGCACAAATACACATATAAACCATCAACTTACCAAACCTTTTTACTCACGCTTACACCAGATTTTTACTGCACTACTCCCTACCCATCTTTACAAAAGGCTACGTTTTCTTATGTATGTATATATTACCCGATTTTATGTATAGTTAATTAGTACTTTGTTTCTTAGAATCCCAAAAGAAAAGTTAGTGGAAAAGTAGTTCTTGGGAATTGTTTGTAATGCCTCACCATTGTAGAAAGTGAGTTCGTTGCATTTTACAAGCTAGCAAATAGAGGAAATATTACAAAGCTCATCTATATACAGTAACCATACTGATGTTATATACCTTTCTTTTCTTCTGTATATGTGGATAATATATGTAATTATTGATTTCCTGTTCCAGGCGTAGTCGTCTACGTACGTGCATATATAATAAATGAAAATACCTGCAATGGATAATGACCTAGCAACAATCCACGAGGAAATTTCCTCCCACTTCAGTTATTTATTTCCAAGAAAAGTATATATATATATATATATATATTAGCAGGATGTTCGGTAATTTCATTATTTTTTACATTGTCGCTTACTCTGTGTATATCTTTTTTAAGAATTTGACTGTATTGTTCTTGAAATGTGTATTTATATAATTGTTGGTGGAGTTAGTCTTGCCCCTCTTCAGAATTCAATCTAATTCCGAGTGTATAGGGATTATGCAGTACGAATGAACTTGATGTGAAGGCATTGACGATATATACATATACATATACATATACATATATATATATATATATGGAGTTTCAAATCTCACAGAACGAGAATGCAAGGGGGCCCCATAGTCGATTTCTTTTAGCAAGTGTTTTTTGTTTTACCTAATACTTTTTG